CTTGTCTGACAGAGCTCACATCTGCTAACCTACAGGACACAGCGTAAAGCTCATTTTTTTCTCATGCCCTTTGTTTTAAAGTGCTGCCAGTGAAAAATTGCAGGTTGCAGTTTGCTTTCTAAAAGGATTGTGGGGAAGTAAAATAGCCTTTTCCTTGTCTCTCGAAAATAAAGTAATTGTACAATTAGCTTTGTATATGCACCTGAGGCATAAGGTGGTTTTTTAGAGATAAATAAAAGCCTAAAAGAAGAAGCTACAAAGATACCACTGTCTAATTCAGAAAAGGCAGAGAACAGGAGCAGATCTAAAGAAGTTAGCAATTTCCTTATACTATAAACATAGTATCCCTTTTGCTAAACTTCAGTAATTTCCCCCTCAACTTACTACAGGGCTGGATTATTCTTTTACATCTGTGTTTCACAGCATGCATTTTTGTACCTGGTCTTTATAAGGCTGGTAGTAAGAGCGTGGCTGGGCTTCTGAGCTTGCTGGTGTTCATACCGGTCATTTTGCTGCCTAGATAAGCTTGTTTGACTTTTTGGGTTTTTCCCATACTTTATTGCAGTGTGCTACGTAAGTTATGGGCCTTTTGTTTCAATTGTTTTGTGTTATAAAGGATGAGCTCTATCTACAGCACTGTTGTGGCTCTAGGGCCCCACCAGGGAAAGTGTGAAAAGACAAGACCTTGGCTTACTATTCATTATCTGACTGTAGCTTTGGGATTGTGCTTCTAAGTAGAAGAGCTTCTACTTCTGTTCTTCTAGAAAATAGTTTTATCTTTTCCTAGAGACACGTAAGGGAATTAATATTTGGTTTTGTGCTTAACTAAGTTTTATAAACTAACTGGGATGGATCTGATATAAAGCATGTTTAGATTAGAGAGGGATTTTTCCTGAAACATCTGGACAAGAGGGTGCATGATACACTTTGTCTCTTAAGCAGAGAAGAAAACCATTTAGTTTCTCACAAGTGGTAAAGCAGTTCATCCTCTGCCTGGGTGCCTGCAGTGGGAGGCAGTTTCTGTTCTGTGCATCCTCATAACCTTACTGTGTGAGGCACACGGGCTACTGGCAGGTAGGAGTGATTAGATGGAGCAGGCATGTGTTGCTCAGGAGCTGTTTTTAGCATCTGAAGTACAATTTCCAGGAAGATGTAGGGTAAGTAGGTGGCAAACAGGACAGCCTAGTAAACAATGTTTAGTGTGAAGTGGAGCTGCAGCACACTGAATACAGCACGCTGATCCCTAAAGGAATTTTGTACCATAGAGCAAAGTGAGGGCATTAGAGATCAGCAAACAGTGTTTAGAGTGGCGAGTGACAACGCAAACTCTCGTCACAAAGAGCAGGTTGCTAGTTTAGTGTTACCAGCTGCACGTACTCTGAGTGCATATCCTGTGTTTCACAACTACTTCTATTGCGTGGTTAGGAAAAGAAAAAAACCAAAACTCGGAACCCTTTATTCTTTGTTACTGTTGTTGCTACTGATAGGCTAGTCCCTAATTAATGTGATGGTACTTTCCCATTCCTCTGCCACTCTCCTTATTACAAGTCCTTGGCAATACAAGAGACCTATCTCTTACTTAGTCATGAGGTATCTAGGCCAACTTGCTTTTGAAACTAAAGACTGTGTACCCCAGGCATACTATATTTCTGATTTGCATATGGAAAAGGCAGTTAAAAAGCTGATGCCCCCATATTGCTTGCGAGTCAAGTAGCAAAAGTAAATGATTTATCAAGCAAAGGTTACAACACCTGTGCCTTTTTGTCAACATATACAGAGGATGCCAAGTCAAGTGTTTCTTCTAATAGCTCAAACAGAAATTTAGATTCAAATAACCCCCCAGATAGGACAATTATGTGGTGAGCCTCTGGAGTGGCAGAGTGATGGATGGGGTAAGCAGAGTCAGTGTATGAAAAAACAAACCAACTGAAAAGCTTTGAAGCTGCTAAAACCAGACAAAGCCAACAGCCCTTTTGGGGCTTTTGTTACTGAATCAGAACTACTGACTTAAATCAGTTTATTTCCTGGTCTCTTCTGTCATGGGGTTGTTGTCCTGCTACAACCTTTGTTGACACAGGATGATGGCCTTTTTCTAAATAAATTATTATATAAATTCTATAAAGTCCCTTTAAGGGATTATATTTGAAGCAATGCGACGGAAATCACAACATGCTGCTAATGGAAATGTCTACTGCTAATTTTTATAATGCCCATTAAGAAAGGCATGTACTGGTTTTGGTTGTTTAAAAACAGCCCAGGACAGAATGATCCTTGCTCAAACCCAGCCATGCTGTTGTACATTTGTCTGCGATTTTATTCCAGTGTTCTGTGAAAGCCCATGAATGCCCATGTATGGGATATGCGACTTCTGCTGAATGGCGCTGTCACATCCTTGTGCACAGACTCACTTTTGCAGCATTTTAAGACTAATAATGATGATGCGTAACTAGTGCCTGCAGTCAAATGACCCACCAATTGGAAGAGAAAATCAGAGTTATCAAAAAGCTGACCATAATGTTTTCTTATAGTTTGTAGCTGGACTGTAATTTTAAAAAAGCAGATGTTCAGATACAGTCTTCATTTTTATTTTGTTGTTCCAGCAGTAAAGAGTTGCTTAACCCTTATATTTAAGCTTGACTTTCAGAAGCTCTGAGTGTTCACTGCTTCCTCTTGTCTGAGGGAGCTGTGTGGCCTGGCAGTTAGTGGTCCTCAGGACCCATATCTTAGGCTAACTCTGAATGTACTATAAAAATCCTGATGGAAAGCAGCCACCCCAGCTGCTTTTAATAACACAGTCCTATGTGTTTTTATATTTTCATTTTGAAATATCCTAAGTGATCATCATATACACTAATGCCCTGCAAAAAGAGTACAAAAGCATGTCTTTGTCTAGAGGAACGCTAAGTAAATCCCAAATCATTGCAGGTATTATTTTTACCTCACTTCTCTGATTTAAAACACAGTCAACTTCAGAGTTGTTTCATGAATAAGTAGTGAGTTTTGCTGATAAATTATATATTTAGTATCAAGTGGGTTGTGGTGGTGTAATGATGTATAGAAGCACAGAGATGCAGCTGCAGTCAGAGACTGGAAGTCAGTCTCCTTACTCACTGCAGCATGTTTGACTTTAATTGAAAGCCGTGCTTGAGTATTGTTTTTCACTGTACAGCATTGTTATTCACTATACTGCATTACATAGAAGCACTTAAAGTAAGGCTAGAGCACTTTAAAATGATTTAAGTCATAAAAAAGGAGGATAAAAGTTTACAGTCAACAAACTTATCTGGGAAACCTGGGCTGCAGGATGCAAGTAAGTTTAAAATATTTTTGAGACTTAATACTGTTGCGTCTTACTACATAATCAATTTACCAACTAGTAGTTTTTCAAGTCTTCTGGAAAAGGTAAGTAGCATTCTCCAAAGGGTTTCAAGTTTCCTGAGCTATGAAGGAAAAGACCAAATGCTTAAGGACTTTAACAGTATACCTTAACATTCCTGTTTCCTGCTTTCAGTGTATTGCTGTGTATTCCAGTTGTTTCCAAAACGACTGGAGAAATACAATTTAAATGTGAAGATGCATGAGAACTTGTCACGTACATGAACCGAATAAAGGAAGAGGCCTGAAAAGTGGGGTGCAGGCTGCGTTTTGTTAAGGCATGAAAAAAATCAGAACCTGATGGGTTAAAACCCCACTCTGCACTGCTGGTGTACTTTCTGTGACCCTATTTAATGCAGAGAAGGTTTGAGATTCGATGTAGTTTAACCTGTGCTGTCAACAGAGCTATAAACTAAAGCCCCTAACAAATTGTACGCAAAGAACAGATAGCAAGAAAACACATTGTGTTCACAGGCATCTGGTTGCAGCCCTGTAAACTGAAAATCTTTGGTAATGAGTTACTTGTGTTTCATTGACAGCATAGGTGCTGAAGCCATCGCAACAAGGAGTCTGTCTTCATACATATACTGGACTGTGGCATGTACAGCCATTAATCTGTACACTAATTATTCAGATGCATATAAATGATTTCAAAGAACTTACAAGAGCTGAGAGTAGTACTCCCCAATTTGCTAGTGATTTGAATTATTCCTTTTTAAGCATTGCAACCAGCTCAAAACAAAATTACAAATATTTCTGGCTGTTGACCTTTAAAAGAATTGTAACGTAGTCAAGCAATCACTTAAAACTACAAACTACAGTTGTCCTAAAGCACTAGCTCTGCTCACTTTTTTATACCTTCTCCCCCATGATAACGTGATATTAAGCACAGACTTAATTTTTTCAACATCTGGCTCAAATTAGCTGCTAACAAAACTGCCAACAACTATTTTCTTAATCGACCCTGGGAATTTGATACAGCTTGGAAAAAGCACATTTAAGCCTTGTCCTTCTCCTAAAGAAACACAAATGTTTACTTGAGCTTCTGATTTGACCATAGCAGGACTATGAATTCAGTTAACCCAGCTTTACAGGCCTGCCTCAACTGGACTTTTTTTGTGTAAGGAAACAGATGTGCTCACAATTACAAAATCTCCTGCTTGCTCAAAGCCCACCATGCAAATGGCTGACCAGGAATTTGAGTCTATTTTTTTTACATGGAAGTCATTGGAGCAGTCTCCCGTTGTATTTGGTGGGTGACTAAGGTGTGCTGTTACCTGATGGGTGTCTCTGAGCAACTTTTGCATATGCAATTAAATGGACTGCCTAGGGAACAAGTTGGAGCGAAAGACTTTGAAAATTCAGTCCTAGAGGAAAAAACTGTGCACTAGAAGCCAATATCTTAGAAAGCAAGAGAGATCTTTCCAGTTACGAAAGCAGCGTTATTACTACATAAGCCCAAAAAAACACAACAGACAAACAAACTGCAAGTGACATTTCACTGTAGTTACTGAGACCATGTGGGTGAAGTGACAGCGGCAATGCAGCTGGCTCCGCGGGGACACGTTAGAGTACACTGAAGAAGAAGAGGCTGCAGGCATACAGAGAAGTCGAAAGCGGCCCACCTGAGTCTGTTGAGGGATATTTACAAAGCTTGGATCCCGTGGTCCAACACTGACGAATCGGTTTGCGGGGGAGGTGCTGGGTGTCGAGTAGGCTGTGAAGGGAAGGGACACATGCGTTGAGGAAGCGGCACTAGATTGCACACGAACAACACCAAAACACACTGTCTCAGAGCCACCTAAGCAGATGTTTAACATAGAAATGTGCAAATGTTTTAGAGAGCGAGAGTTTGGTTTTAGACACCGGAAAGGTTTGGTCTTAATGATGGGGATATAAACACGTAGGGGACTGGGCTGCTGGGAGAGGGCTCCTTGCCAGGCAGGACAGCAACGACGTGCGCTCAGGGAGAAGTGTGCTGGGTCACCTGTGCTGCTCTCCATCCCAGAGGAGAACCACTGCAGGCCTTTCCATGCTGGGATAGCACAAGAGACTTCTATAAGTGCTGGTATGGCCTGACTGTTTTCACTCAAATATGTGGTATCTCTGGTTTTAATGGAGTTTTGTATAGCAGTGAATTTACTAAAGTGCTTATTAACAGAATCAGACCCTTGTTTCATGCTAATCCAGCATTCTCTCTCGATATAAAGTTTTGGTTTTCATACTGCTGTGGTCTGCACTCTCTAAAATGTTCACTTGATGTGTCTGACAAACTAGGAAGATCCTTTCGGTAAAAAATTAATGGGTTGCAGTTTCACTGGGGTGGTAAGTGCAATCAGTCTGAAGGCTGAAGCTGCCTTTAAAAACTGGAATGGCTCCCATAAATGTAAAGCTATTAAATGCAATGCAAGCCAAGAACCCAGATTACTTCCAAACTTGAAGTACTTTAATGATTTTATTGTTGCATTATATTCTCCACTGCAACTGTCCACAATGCCACGTACTTCCACATCCAAAAGCTTTCAATGCATTTTCAGCCTTCCTCTCATTTGAAAATCCCTCATGCAATCTTCTCTCTTGTTCAGTTTTTTGCATGTTCAGATCTAAATTCAAATAACCTAAATAGATGCCTTAATACAAACAGTAATTCTGTCTATTTTAAATATATTTATGGGAATGCATTCTGCTGAATAAAATCCCCGGACAATCTAACTATCCAATGAAGAGACAAAAAACAATGTTAAAAGGGAAGTTACTTGCCAAATTCCAGTCAGGCTAAATATAATGTTCAGGCCTCAACGTTACAGAAAAATAAAGCGAGTTAAGAGTTGGAGAAGACACTGAGTTGTCTGTGTAGATGAAAGCCTGTTGCCTTTCTGAAGGCAAAATGTTCAGTGAAGAGGCGTTACATTGGAGGAGCCTTTGGTTTAAGACTGTACTGAATCAGACCAATGCTCCACCTTATCCGCTCTCCTCTCTCTTACAGAGGCCACAAGCAGATGCACAGGGAAGAGTCAAAACAGGTCACATATTTACTTTCTCATATTCTTTCCCACTCTCTGATTATTTTCAGCTCAGGGACTCCCTGTATTTAATGGCCCGCAAGGGATTTCTCATTGATTGATGAATGCCCAATCTGCCCTTGAACCCATGCAAACGTTCTGCATCCCACAAAGCCCTTTGGCAAGGAGTTCCCAAGTCTATGAGCACGCAGAACCGCAGCCTTCCCTTCCCTCTCTGCCCAAGTCTCACAAATGTCTCATGATGCCTCCTAATTCTTAGAATTATGTGAGACAGCTTCACTTTCTCAAAGAGCGTTTCCCTGAAATCACCCCAGGAACTGCGTATCTTCATTTCTTACTGATTTAAGGGGAGATAAGGCATTCCT